CAGTAAGTAATATCATGGTACACTAAATGATTGAACTTTTTTTTGGCAAAAATACATTATTTATAATAATAATATGCATATGATTTATCTTTTTAGTCTGAGTTAATCTTGACCATTGAAAGAAACGACAATGCAGGAGGAGTATTCCAATTTGCCAACATTGACACTGAAACCATTCTTTCTGTAAGTAAATTAACTGCCACCTTAATTAAATTAAGGTGGCTCCCTACAGTTGTCCTTATTTGCCCGACGTCTCTATAGTACAGGCCTATTAATGCAGATTGTGCATTCTTTTCTACTTGGAGGCAATATCTAACATCAGTGGAATATATTCGGTCTGACAATGTGACTGTCGCCATGGCAACACGGCGAAGGTTTAAAACCTGCTTATTTTAGCCACAAAATTGTTTTTACATTCTTTTTTATTCCATATATCAAATCAGTAGAGCATGATGTTCTGCAACTTTTGAGAACATTTAATAAAAGTCATTACAGTCCGATTTTTTTAAAAGCGAAAATTTTGTTACAAGATTTCCACTGTGAAGATTTTTTTAAAATTTGAAATATATCAAATTTACTAAAATTAAAATTTGTGGTCAAAATTTGAAGATAGGTTACCGATGAAAATAACGAGCAAAATGCAATTCATTTTGTAAAAAATCCTTGTATAACTCGTGAAATTTCCCTTAAATAAATCCTTCTACATGCAGTATAATGATTGACCTACATGTTTCTCTACTTATTTCGCAGGAGAATTTAAATAATCAGTTGACTGTCACTGTAGTACGAGTGGAAGGTGACTTGGACGAACGCTGGGTTAAAGTGAAAGCGATAAATGCCGGTACAGTACATTCCTTAAAACAAATACATCCACCTTACAGTATGTGGTATTTCAACATTACTCGCAACGTTTAATTAAGCCGGTTACAGACGAGCAAGTTTTCTATGACAAGTTTTTATGTCAAGTTTTATTTGCTCGTCTGTACGCGCAACTTTGACAATTTGTTCTATGACAAGTGCACTTGTTCAAAAGCTAGCTTTTGAACAAGTGCACTTGTCATAGAAAAAAGTGTCAAAGTACAAATTTTGTTCGTCTGTATCGGTCAACAAAGAAAACTTGTCAAAGTAATCTGAGCATTTCATGTGATTGGCCAGCGGACTATTATAATTTTTCTGTCATGGCGGTGATAAACACATTCCTGACACGTTCACACCAGTAAATAAAACTTGTCATATGAAAACTTGTCATATAAAATTTGTTGCATATACACACGTGCACTTAATGTCAAATCAAACTTGCCACACAAAAACTTGTCATGGAAAACTTGCTCGTCTGTAACCGGCTTTATAGTCGTTGTACAGTAACTGATGTACTTCTGAATTAAACTGGTGGAAAGTTAGTAAGGGACATAGACGAACCTTACGTTAAGCCCCGAGTAACGAAGATGACAGTTCAGTGATGAGAGTTTTCGCTATGTGTGCGGTTTAAGGCGCCGTTTACATGAGACTGGGACGAAGTCAAACCGGTGAATGAAAAGTGAAATTGTAAACATGTTTACATGAGACCGGTACGAAAATCACAACATTTTCAATTTATTTCCCTTGCCAGGCAATTTTCTTTTTGGATAGCTTTTGTTAGCATGTGTTGTTCACTTGTTCCAATGTCAAGGTTACAGCCGAGACCGGTCTGAAATGTATTTGTGTTTACATTCATCCCAGTCTGAATTCATGCCGGTCTGAAGTCAGTCGGCTCGTTCCAGCAGGCGGAATGACTTGAGACCAGTCAGAGATATGTTCGTCTCGGTCTCATATGCATGTAAACATCTATAAATAATACTATGGCCGAAACGAAATGGACTCAGTTTGACTTTGTTTCCGGTCTCATATAAATGGGGCCTAAATATCCAGTCAACTCCATTGAATGGTCAACCCTCATTCAACTCTTGTTATCGGTTGACCGAGTCATTCTCGTTGAGAAAAGGGCTCTAATCATGCAAACGCTCTTGTGCCAACTCCTATCAACTCTCGTCCTTGTTTTATCAGGACTTTGCAATTACGAGTTTCTTATTTTAGGAAAAGACGACTTTGAATCAGGAGAAGCCGCGTTGATCTTTAAAAAAGGTGAAAGAAGATTGTCAAAAATATTTCATGTCACAGATGACAATACTCCTGAGGTACTGTACATACTAGTAATAAGAAACAGTTATTGGATGGGGTTTTTGTGATATCCAGAATTATCAAGGTCGAAGTAAGTGCTATTATTAATAATACGTCCCGAGACCTTGATATAATTCGGAATATCACAAAAACCCCATCCAATAACTGTTTTAATGTGGTTAAACGTAGATTTAAGCGAAGTTAACGGCAGATGTATCTAGCAGCGGGGAGCCCCTGACGTCACTTAGAACAGTTGCAATTCTCGCGCATCTGTCACTTTGCTACAGCTTGGCTAGCCAGCAACAACTGCTCTTTCGCTCTGTTCCCCTTCGCCCCCACCCTGGTTAATGTTTGTTGATACTCGGGTTAATTTCTTTATTTTTGTTTTAGTTTTTTTTTTTGTTTTTTTTTTTAAATTTTGTTTTTTCTTTATAGTTATAGGATACAATCTATAGACTACTATAGAATGTGTCCTTTTTTCCACTGATCATCAGTGTGACAGGTGCCGGAGGTCTGCCTTGGCAGAATTGTCATGGCAAACTCCTATTGCTACTATAATTAGCCTTATTATTACGTTTTTTGCTGTTTTGTCATAGCTGTTTGCCATTGCTGTTTGCCAGATTTGCCGGTTTGCCATAAATGTTTGCCAGTGTTTTGCCTAATGATTGCCATTGCGGTCATTTGCCCGACAAGGCTAGATCGCCGACTGGCCTTGGCCACCAACGGCACCTACCTCCAAACTCAGATACTCTGCCGTTAATTACACATTGCATTTTCATTAATAAGTCTTTCGAAAAACAATCATTTCTAGCACTAAACTACTTTGGTTTTCAAAAAAAGCAGTGAATTGCATCACTAAATCCATAGTATATCCATATGATTTCCATACTATATTCATGCTATGGAATTTTACTATATTCATGCTATGCAGGAATTTGCAATACTAGATTCCCTTTATTACGTTTTCGTAGCGTTTTGCATTGTGGTTATAGTGGTATCACTGATATTCGAGATGACTTATTTTTTGTGCAAGAACTTTAAAAAAAAGCTAGGTCGCAGGTGCGCGATAGCCGACAGCAAAATATTCGCGAAAACATTCAATATTTTCATTCGAGGCCGCTATCTTTATCAGTGGTACCACTATAACCACAATGCAAAGCGCTACGAAAACCAAGGGTGGGTTGACTACAAAATTTTTGTAGTTTGCTATAACTACAGCTACTTCAAAAATATGTAGTCAGCTACAACTACTGCTACTTTTGAACAAAGGTAGTTCGCTACTGACTACAGCTAATGCTTAAAAAATGTAGCGAACTATTTCGCTATTTCGCTACTCTATATTTTTTAGTTTTACGGTATTTGGAGCATCCACTAGCTCAGGCTGTAATATAACCTATAACAAATCGACTTACGAGTAGCAACAGTAAACAAAAAGGGTCAAAGCAACATTTTTGTAAGCACTACAGTGTTCAGGAGTGCTACTTTTCATTGCGCTAAAATAATCTTTACTCTATTCTATGAACGGTTGCCAACAATTTTAAAAGTAGCGAATAGCGATTCGCTGTTTGAAAAGTAGTCAACTATTTGGCTACTTTTAGGCAAAATGTAGCTCGCTATAACTACAGCTACTGTTTTAAAAAAAGTAGTCAAAAACTACTGGCTACTTGAAAATTGTAGTTCGATACAGTAGCGAACTACAACTACTTCGCTACTACCCACCCTTGACGAAAACATAATAAGGGGAATCATCAATTGCATCACTAAATCCATAATATGTCCATACTATATTCATGCTATGGAAATTGCAATTGGTATGAAAATTGGATTTCCATACTATTTCCAACGAAGGTCCATGCTATTTACACAGTAAGGATTTTGAATAAAATGTCCAGTGTAATCTCGCTCTGATAACTGCAGGTTAACCATCATCTGCTTTGTGAAACCCGCGAATTGAGTGGATTAAATCTCTTGTAGACAAACAGAACGTTGACATTCCGTCTTTTTCCATTTGGTTCTGCGAACGTGCAAGGCATCCTGGGTAATCCCACCGAGTTCAATGTTACTATACTGGAAAATGATGATGCGAATGGGATTATCGTATTTGCTAATACATCGCTTTCTATAGGTATGTCGTTATGGCCTTTATCCGGTTATCTGTCTATTTAAATTTTCTGACTGTTGATGCCACAGTGGTTAGTGCATGAGATTTAATTCCTCTATTTTGCATTTGTCTATTATATCTTAAAATACTCATTAATAATTCATAAACCTTGTGGCAAATCATGTCGGCCATAATATGTCACGTGGAGTGACTTTATATCTGATAAAACACATGTGGCATTATATAATTGTTCATCCTAATTAGCATGATTGTATAATGGTTCATCCTAATTAGTATTCTTTTGTAGTCGTATTTTAAGCTATTCAAAACACTCGTTGTCGTGTTTTATCAGATATAAATGCGCCTCGCGTTTTATATCTGATAAAACACTCCTACTCGTGTTTTAAATAGTACATAGGCAGCCCAATGTTATGGTTGCCTGCCTGCGCGCGCGGGGGCGAGGCATTGTATAGTTGTATTATTTCTTATAAATAATACAACTACAAAATAATACAACTATACAATGCCTCGCCCGCGCGCAGGCAGGCAGGCAGGCAACCATAACATTGGGCTGCCTATGATTATACTGTATAAGTAATTTCTTATCGATCGCACGTAAGAAGAATGTATCTCAAATCAATAATTCATGAGTAAATTAGCCAACCATATTGCTTTATTTTGCTCACATGATAATACTGGATACCTGGTGAAGTATATTGATTCAGTCGACCTAAGACTGGATCAAAATTAATTCACCTCACTTTAAGTAGTGATATACTCGTATGAGATGTCATTTCAAATCCTCCAATACGGACTGGACTAGATTTCAAGTTCCCGCATTTTAATCCAGTCCTCGGACGTGATCAAATTGCGCGGACTTGAAATCTAGTTCAGTCCTCATGGTCGGATTTGAAATATTACTTCCAGTTTGACTCCACCAGACACTTCAGGGTACTCCGGTTTCCTATAGTAGTGACACTGGGCTTAATATAAGATGGTCTTTTCTGGACCTCTAAAGAGAACTGAATAGAACCGGTGGAGCTATCCAGTATAAATAAAGTTAGTTTAGTTATATAAAGTTTCTTCAGTATAGTAACTTGGATCGATAAGGAATGACCCTTACTGGACCTCTAGGGATAACAGTTTAGAATTATTGATAGAACTATCCAGTTTGAATAAAGTTAGTTTAGTTCAGGTTTCCTTCTGTAGTAACACTGACCTATAGAGTTTCGATAGCACTGATACTATATGTAGAAAAGGCTCATGAATATATATTTCTGGTTAATGGAATGTCTTACTGTATGATAGATCTAAAAATCACAATCCACCCTTTCTCTATTTCTCGAACAGCTGAAAGCAAAAGTGACCGGAAATCTGTGAGTTTTGTTCTTGAGCGACGGCGTGGTTTATTTGGTGATGTCAGTGTGTCATGGAACGTCACTTCTGGTACTGACGCATTGCTGGATATTTCACCGACGTCTGGGAAAGTTCAATTTAAGGAATTAGAAAAATTTAAAATTTTAGAGATTTTCTCTGTTGAAGATGAAGTAAGTCGATGGGTTTAACAAACTTAAAATAAATTCAACCCCAATCCTTAACCCTAAATCTTTCTTTAGTCCCAACGCTTATCTTTGCTTTGTGACGATATTTCGGGACATTCATATGGAAGGGCAACCTCGTTCCCAGGCTTTTTCCTCTTTAGAAGGAAGACCCTGGTAAGAGCTGGTCACGTGGCCCACAAAAATTGATTGCCTAAGGGGATGAGGGAAAAGTCCTCATTACAGAGTGAGTGTTCGGTACAAATTACAATCAACTTTGAGAATCGTATATACGTCAAAAAACTTGCTAAATTTGATTTCTGTTTACTTTTAAATTATGAAAATTTGCTTTACAGATTTTTATAGCAACAAGTCCGGAAAATCAAGCAATAAAAACGTACAAACGTATGCTTTGAAATTGTTCTTATGTTCTCTCGGTGGCTTGGGCGCACTTAAAGGCACTTTCATTTCACACGTTTTTGTTCTGCCTCTGGTTCACATATTTATAATCATATAATATGTCACTAAATTGTTGTTATCTGGAAACAGTATAAACTTAGAGGTCTCCAGAGCGACTGCGTGTTTAGGTCCTCTGAAGTCAGTTTCGGCAAACATTTATTGCACATTTGGACACTAGCCAAATAGATAATGAATGTCCATGAATTTACAGACTGTTTATATGCTACTAATTTTATTAAAAATTATCGATCGTTTATAGTAAACACTGGGTATTGTAGGAAGGAGTGTATAATGTACAAAAAATGTTAGAGAATCTACAGTGCAGAATTATAAGATAACTGTATGCTTTTCCATTTTTGGCTGCACGAGTATATGTTGTTGAAGGCAAATTATTGCACATTATATCTTTCATATAATTCTATAGCCATTTACCCCGCCTTTTATACCTTGCCAACTCTCATCCAAGGCTTTACTATTGACTAGCATTATAGTGAAACCCTTTTGTTGCAACAGCTTTGAAATTGATCTTGACATCAATGCATGTTTCCCAACAGCAGGGTTATGTAGTTGCCTGAAAAATTCAATCAGAACTTCGACGTTTCGAGCGAAAGCCCTTCGTGATATCTCCTACGTAACGCTACTGTTTGTTATCATTGCCGCATCGACACCTACATTGGCATATCAATGTTTCCTTGCTGTATATTCTTTTATATATTGTGCAGATCCCAGAGCTGGATGAAAACTTCACCATCAACTTAACCCAAGTAGAAGGAGGCGCCAAGATCGGCCATCCCCGTGAGGCTCAACTTACAATAGTCAGAAATGATGATGCTATTGAATTCGCAGCCCCTGCGCACGTGCGAGTGGACGAAGGGGAGCGAGCTACTTTCACTATACTACGTCATGGACGCACAGACGAGGCGATACACGTGAGCTACACAACGGAAGATGGCTCAGCTATGTCTAGTGATCGAGATTATAACCCCATCACCCAGCAAATCTTGTTCGCCAACGGCGAAACACAGAAGAGTATCTCAGTGTATATCTCGGATGATGACAAACCGGAGAGTGACGAGAATTTCACCATCGTGTTGACGTCATCAACTGGGGATACTTCCATATATGGTAATACGGTTGCCGTGGTTACGATAGCGGCAAGCGACGATCCTAATGGTATATTTCATTTCGATGGGAATTCAGATTTGAATAAAACTGCAAATGAACGAGGCACTGTGAGCTTTAAGTGAGTACGACAAAACTAACTATAGTAATTAAAATATCTTTACATATATTGGATAGCTCTACCAGTTCTAAACTGTTCTCTCTAGAGGTCCAGTGAGTCATCGTTAACTGATGCAGTGTTATTACATGAGGAAACCTAAACCAAACTAACTTTATTTATACTGGATAGCTTTATCAGTTCTAAACTGTTCTCTCTAGTCTCTAGAGGTCCAGTAAGGATCATTGTTAATTATTAATGCAGTGTTACTACAGGAGGAAACCTAAACTAAACTAACGTTGTTTATACTGGATAGCTCTATCAATTCTAAACTGTTCTCTCTAGAGGTCCAGTAAAGATCATTGTTAATTAATGCAGTGTTACAACAGGAGGAAACTTAAACTAAACTAACTTTATTTATACTGGATAGCTGTATCAGTTCTAAATTGTTCTCTCTGGAGGTCCAGTAAGGATCAGCGTTAATTAATGCAGTGTTACAACAGGAGGAAACCTAAACTAAACTAATTTTATTTATACTGGATAGCTGTATCAGTTCTAAACTGATGTCCTTAGAGTTGCAGTAAGGATCATCCCATAATTAATGATCCAGTGTTATTGCAGGAGGAAACCTAAACCAACTTTATTTATACAGGATAGTTCTATCAGTCCAAACTGTTTGCTCTAGAGATCCAGTAAAGACCATTCCGTGTTGATCCAGTGTTACGACAGGAGGAAACCTGAGTACCCGCTCTTCTCACATACCACTGAGGCGATTCCATAATACAACACTACATATTGTAGGAATCGAACCCTTGTCGCAGAGGTAAAAGGTACATGCGCTGTCATCAAGCATATTTAAGTATATAATTGTTCCTCTTCTTCTAGGGTTGTAAGAGACCGTGGTTTTTTTGGTAGTGTCGGTGTCCTCTGGCAGATTTACCAAGTGTTTTCAAATGGTTCCCGTCATGCTCTGAAATCTGGGGATTTTGATCAAACATCCGGGGCATTGGTATTCCAAGATCGTGAGCAGACAAAGGACCTGGTATTGAGTGTATCGTCTGACGATTTAGCTGAGTACGGGGAGTCTTTTGAGGTTGTTCTTGAAAATGTAACAGGTAACTATGTTGACGTCTGAGCCTTTTTAAAATGTCGTTTTAAATTTTGTCTGTTTGACACTCTGTCCACACGGAAACGTTTTCACGGCATGCATGAATGTTTGTCTCGACAAAAATTCCATCTCTGGCGACTTCTTGTCACCGTTTATCTTCCACCAGACGGAGTCCTTACTTGTCAACGAGTTGCTCATTATAATAAAGTAAACAGTTTTATATGTATGTTCAGCATCACCGATACGAAGTCTGTCGCTCCTTCGAAAGCAAAACACATTTTAAATCGTTCATATTTCGTTATGCACTTGAAAGGCTATATATTTTGTTTTATTTGCTGCTAAAGTTTTTAACGTAAGAATTGATAATCCAATGAAAGATCTAAGCTTCCAGGAAACAAAAATATAATATGAATTTTTTTCTGTGTTGGTGTTGTGTGCTTAGGTGAATATGAAGATTGTGATGTTACTCTTGAGTGTATATCCACACCGGGCAAGCTTGGGCTGGTATTCCAAAGGTCGTAGGTTCGATTCCCACCGTGGCCAGGCATATTTTTCAAGCTTGCCCGGTGTGGATATACACTCAGAGTAACATCGCAGCATCAAAATTATAATATTTTGACTTTAAGCCGCCATCTTGGATTTTTAGCGTTTCAACGCGAAAAACGTTTTCGTCATAAGACGTCGTATTCATCCTTTTTCGTGTGGATACGGCTTGAAAATGACACTTTTTGAAAACGTTACAGCTGAAAACGGTCGAAAATGTTGCCGTGTGCACATTTAGTCTGATATACGTTACGTGGGATAAGACATGAATCATCACTAACAATCAACTGTCTCATACTGTAAAGCTTTAGCTTTGCGGGAAATTTCCTGTGCAAAAATTCTTGCAATTATGGAAATTTGCGCAAAGGTTTGTAAAAAAACCCAAATAATTTCTGAAGAATCTGCACAAAATGCCTTTGTGAACCAAGAACCAAGCAGATTTCTGATCTTCCTATTTGACAAAAACACTTTCCCACTGCAGCCTGCAGGATCCCTTGGTCTGCCTTAAATTTCCTGTGAAAATATCTGACATTACTGCGCATTTTTCCCAAGGAAAAGTGTGGTGTGAACTGTCAAGAGGTATATGCATTGGTAAATATCGAGATTTTGGGCGTCTGGTTCGAAAGAAGTAGTAGATGGTTTTTGTGGCTGGAATTTCCGAACGAAAGTTTATATACATTTTAGGCCAAACCAAGCGCAGTTGCAAAAAATGCAACTATAGACCTCTGGCAGGAATCGAACTTGAGGTCCTTCGATTCCGGTGCAGCGCTCTAACCAACTGGGGCCGGTTGTATAAAAACGTAGTTAGCGCTAACTGCAGTTAAAAAGTAGTTAACTCTTTTTCGTTCGCTGCTGAAATAACCAGGGGCCGTTGTATAAAACTCTTAATCACTTTTTTAATCACTATTTTGTAGTTAAATAGTGATTAACTCTCAAATACGCGCTTTTTATTGGATGACGTTTCCACTAACTATAGTTAACTTTAATCACTTTTTTATACAATCGGCCCCAGAGCTACAGAGCTCAGTTACTGAGCAGTCAACCACAAATTCATGTATATATATATGTAATGGAGTAATGCGTCACGTTCGATAGAACTAATGGTTTTTTGTAGATGGAATTTTTGAACGAAAGTTTATATACTTCCTAGAATGTACGTACATGAATTTTCGTTAGAAAGAGAAGCACATCTACTATGAAAGAGAAACTCTTTCCCTATCCAAGGACTTTATCATTGACACGAAACTTGTTAGTACTTTCTTAAAGGCACAGTTCAGCCTTTTGAATGATGGTTTTTAAAGGCGCATTTCGGCCCTTTTTAATTGAGAAAACTAACCAGGAAAATCAATTAAGTATAATTCAAGATCAGCAAACTTGATTTTTTTAAACATTTTAAAACATTTTTATTGTCAAAAACATTGAGTTTACTGATCTTGAATTATGCATAATTGATTTTCCTAGTTACTTTTTTTTTTCAATTAAAAGGGCTGAAATGCGCCTTAAAAACCATAATTCAAAAGGCTGAACTGTGCCTTTAACACCAATGAAAATATACCAATCTTGGATTCTCTCTTAGGGGGATCGCCAGGCCCTGGTGGTAAACTTTCTTCCAATCTGACAGTCGCATATATTCATATTCCAACCAATGACAATCCTTATGGTCTCTTTGCGTTTGCGCATGACTCTCTGGACGTGAGTGTTGCTGAAGATACAAAGCCTGGGTACGAATATAAAGCCACGGCTAACTTGACTGTTGTCAGAAAGCGCGGGAAAGACAGGGATGTTGGGGTGAGTACAGGATAATTTTGTTTATTTAAGAGTAACAATTGAAATCCATGTTGTTAAGCTGAAGCAACAATTAACTTGAAGTTTGTGTTCTGACACTACATGCACTTACTTTAAATTAATTTTATTTATACTGGATAGCTCTGTCATAGCTAAACTGTTCTTCCTAGAGATCCACGTAAGGGCATCTCCAGGGACGCCGGAACTGGGGGGCAGGGGGAGGGCAGCTGCCCCCCTTGCCTTTTGCTAGGGGGGGCAGGGGGGGCAGAAGTGCCCTTTTAGTTATAAAACAATACATGATAAATCACATTTACAACGATGCTTTTTGTACGAAAATCATGAGATTCAGACAATTTATAGTTTATATTTGACTTTTGGTATGTCCGGAAAAAATTTTTGACCGCTAAAATGGTACGCTGACCGAAATTTTTTTGGCGACGTGGGGGAGGTCGCCGAAATTTTTCGAGTCAAAAAAATTTTTGCGGAAGATTTTGAAGTTTTGCTTTAGAGAGGTGCCCTTGGTGTGGGTCCGCCCCCCTTTGCCTTATGATCGTTCCGGCGTCCCTGGGCATCTCTTATTGATCCAATGTCAATACAAGAGAAAACCTAACCTAACTAATTTAATGTATATTGGATTGGATAGGATAGCTCTATCAGTTCTAAACTGTCCTCCCTAAAGTGCATTAAGGTTACAGAACACCTTTGAGTGTTAATTTTGCCTAAAATTGTTTTATTGGTTTCAATGAAAGCATTAGACTAGTTCTACTATCTGACCAAGTTTGAACGAAAAATGTTGAAATATTTAATAAAATACATTTCGCTGCAATAAGAAAAACATTGAAAATGTAATATTCAAATTCAATTTTCTCACGAAAAATTTTACGGTAATTACTGATTTTCAAATGAGTTGTGCTCCTGCGGGTTTTAACCAATTTTTCTCAAATTTTCACAGGACATAGCTAAATACGTCAGTTTCAAAATTGTGTTAGGCTTTTTTTTAATTTTGGATATTTTGAAAATAAAGAGCAATTCACTCAAACAATTCAGAAATATATTGCAGTCGTCAAAGAAATCGCCATATCAGCGGAATGACGAAATAAACAAAAATTTCCGAACACCATTTTTTAGAACAACTATTTTACTGTATAAAAATGATATTTTCATAAATATAACTTAAAACCAGCAGGAGCACAACTCAAAAGCGTAAAGGTACCGCGATTTAAGATTTTCCTGAATAATTCTTACATTATTTTATTGTTTGTTAATTTTACAACTCTACCATATTTTGCATGCACTGGCGAACATTTGGTGAAAATGTGATGAAAATCGGACTGATATTGAGCGCGCAGTAGCGATTTTCCGCAAAACGCCAAAAAGGGTGTCCTGTAACCTTAAGGGACATCTCCATAAGGATCAAAATTAGTTCTCACTTTAAGTAATGATTTATTCGTATGTGAGATCCACCCGAGGTGCGTCCAATCCCGGACTCACCGAACCTGCAAGTATGTTTGGTTTTTATCACATGCCATTTCGGTAAAATACTAAAAAATACTGAACAATTTTATATCGCATTTTACTTTTTAGTATATAATTTCGTGTTTGGATATTATAAACGAACATTTTAGCCACGAATATACTACGCAAACAAACAAACTTAGGCTTAAATTAAAGCTAAAAAAATTCTCTACAATACTCCCTTATTCTTGAAAAGAGAAAATGAACACATTCTGCGAAAACAATGCCAAGATTTATATAAACCTGCTCGTGCCGAACAAATTTCGGCGGCCATCTTTCTTTTTTCCACTTTAAACACAGAATATTCCATTTTCATCACACAAAATAAAAAAATAATAATTATAAAACAATTAAAAACAGTTAATTTATTTTTTTATTTAAATCTTCATCTGAAATTTGTTTAAATCGCTTCATAATGGCCGCCACCAAAACATCAATCTCGAACCCACCTCCTAAACTTACGTCAGCAGGTGGGTTCGAGATTGAACGCACCTCCTCTTAGCCAATAGAAAAGCCGCTAATACGCTAGGTATGAGATAAGAAATCTAGTCCTGTCCTCGGATTTGAAATATTACTTCAATGATAATGTTTTGAAAGAGCTTCTCACATGTGACTCATGTGAAATTAAAAATTAAACGAGACTTACCTGGTAAGTTGAAGTTTGATTGGAATTCTACAAGTCATCAGTCAGGAACGGAGGAATTACATGAGAGAGCGCGCGCGAGCTATCTAGGCAATATTCAACGTAATCGTGAGTGTGAACAGGAGCATGGAACGGAGGAATTGGGACGGGAGGGAATCAGCTTGCCTGATCCAGGGCATGTAATTCCTCCGTTCCTGACTGATGACTTGTAGAATTCCAATCAAACTTCAACTTACCAGGTAAGTCTCGTTTAATTTTTAATTCTACTACGTCATCAGTCTACGTCACTACGGAATTACATGAGATTTCAAAGTCCTGTTCACACACACGCCAATGAGTAGATCAGTCAATGGTTTACGAAGTAACTAAACCATGATATCATCTACTAACAAACGAGCCGACATGATCACATCTGCGCAAGGGCAGATACAAAAAAGGGAATCATTTGATTGTGAGGTTGGGCTAACCTCTTCTGTCTACAAGAAATGCTAGTAGTAGTAGACTCCAAATAAATAAAGGTAAAGATAATTTCCTCATGATTCTTTTTAAATTCCCTTAAATTAAATGCATTGCCATCAAGAAGCAATGAACAATTGTTGCCATAAGATTGCAAACCCGTACCCAGGCTGTTCCCTGGTACCGATACGACTCACAATTCCTTTACCATAAGACGGAATTTTTCTTTGTATTAAGCATACAGCCTGCAGTGTATCTCTAGGCTGTCATAAAGCCAAAAGTTTCCAATATAAGTGCCATTGGCATCGAGGAGTTTATAACTCAAGGACGAAAGAACTTTTATACTCTTCCTGAATTGAAAACCTGGTTGCAGTAACTTACACTAATTTTGAAATGATTATATTTTCTGATGTCACACGACATCTTTGCAAATTATATATAAGGTCATTACAGTATCATCAGACCGTTTATGCAATAAACGCTGAACTGACCATTGAAACCTCAGCGTTGACTAATATCACGTAACCAACACAGCAAATATCATGATTATTAGATTACATTGATATCGAAGGAACTAGACTCAGTTCCATACTCGAACCAACCTGACCGCGTAGCTCAATTGGCAGAGCATTGGGCTAGTATTCCAAAGGTCGTAGGTTCGACTCCCACCGTGGCCAGGCATATTTTTCAAGCCTGCCCAATGTCTCACAGTAACATCACAAGCATCATGAAACTGATATAAGGATTAAGGGTTCTATATGACACAAATTAATGTATATATAGTTAAGCAAAAATATGCATTTGTTCCATAGCTCCGTCGTTATTATAAATCAGAAGCTGATGATAGATAGAAATAATTCTGTACAATGAAAAGGAAGACAAATGTGCCCAAATAGGTACTGATTAGTACATTATGATTCTGCGTGCATGATTCATATAACATCAATGTTCTATAAGTCTAGCAATTTCAAATACACATGTCATATATTGTATATTATCATCCCTCTCAATATTATGGTCCCATGGCCAATTTGTGTACTGAAGTCTGTGTAATAATTAAGTGTAGTATGCCGCTCGCTGCCGATGGCATTTGGACATACAGTCATACCGTTAAAGGCCATAAGGCTTCGAAGTGAAGGCGGTGAGCATATAGTCATAGCCACAACTATTTGTATTTGGAGAGTATATTCCTTAATATTTCTGTGGCACGAAATATGTGTTAAATACATTGTATGTGCACAAGAAATTCGCCAAAAAGGACTGGTTGATCAGTGTTGTTCTGTGACTGTGTGGGGTATCATAGAAACGTTTACATCCGAAACTTACAATAGGTGAAGGGAAAAGATCTTGGGCCGTTACAACAGTAACAACACTAACATTATTGTAGAGATATCCTGTTGAAACAATCAGGGGACATTGTTGTTGGCTTCAATTGCATACATATTAACGCGAGAATCAAAGCAACATTCGAAAATAAATTTCGGTCAGTTGCATGTTTTCCTGAGTCAGGGTGCATGGTATATTGGTCCGCAAAGTTTTTCGCTGTGCCCTTTCTACATACATTTACATGGTAACCACATGACTGACAAGAATTGTCCCTTGTATTGAATTCCTCTTATTTTATTATAGCCATATGCAATGCCAATGGGGTTAAATAGCCAGTAAATATAACATGCATATTGCATTCGAGTGACAGCCGGTTCGTCAGTTTTGAATTTTGTAACTGTTATTGTTGTTATCAGACCATTTAAAATTCATCATAACCATTACTCATTAGCACGTATACCGACGGTATAGTCGAGTTTACCAAGACTGAATAGTATCGCATCACAGGCATTGCTATTTGGTAATTGGTCTTTGTATTGTCCTGTGAAGGAATGAATGTCATTCTATAAATGCAATGTTTGTCCTGCAGTCCAGAACAGCAGTGATTGCAGCAGATGGACTATGTCTATTATATATGACATATGTACAAGGTGTTTAGCCTATGGCTATGCCATGTTAAACAGATAATGATTTACAAAATAGGATAGTGCAACTTCCCAATGCCAATGGTGTGTTGTTATTGTTATATGAAACATTGTCATCGAGTACCAGACCGCTCTACTGTTCCAGTCTGGCCTGATTTGTTTGGCTTGAAGCGGAGATTGGGTATATTTCCATACATAATGACCAGTGAATATTCTACACTGCTGTTCTTAAATTCAAGGCATAGCAAATTACTAATCTTTATACTTTAATACAAATTGCTTTGGCTATACAAAAAGCCCCCAAGAGGTTAAGATAATGATGTCCAATTTTGTTCTCAGGGAACAAGATTAGCCTCCATGCAGATTTGCAGACATTAACCACACCTTCAATTCTAATCAGGAATTGAAATCTGATCCCAGTAATGCTAATGCATGGTTAAATAAGCAGGTACAAACTGTACAATTCAGTAAATTTCTCATTGGCCTGGTCAAGTTGTTTGTTTCATGGTTCAAAACATAGCCACTGCCCCACTGGCATCGATTAGCATTTCAGATTTTCACTGCCAGTATTCCCACTTGGGAAAAAGATAATAACCGACTTCAGTCTAGTGACTAATCAGGTTACTATACTGAGATAGTAAAAAGGGGCTATAATTGCTATAGCATGCATGATGTTTGCTATGCATGATGTTTGCTATTCCCACAAACTGTACCAAGCTGTACAGTGACAGCATTTATGCCAGAAGTGAGGAGTTGATATACCAGCCAATACCAAAATTACTGATATTATCAGTAAACTAGGCTGACTAGCTTTAGTCTTGCCGTGGAAGAACAATTGGAATGAACATTGTACTATTGTGTTCACATTCAAATGAGCAAATATTCATTGTAGGTTGTAGTGCTACATGTCATGTGATAGCCATCACCCCTGCTGTTGTTGTATCACAGGAAGTGACCAACTGGAAGTGACCAAAGTTAAAACTGGTCTGCATTCAGGTCTAGTTTCAACGGTTTTGCTGGCATTTAGCTATGCTATTATATTTATTGTATCACACAAGATAAAACTTTAAAAAGTTTCACAGTTGTTTATTTCTTCAGCGTGGTTCTCGTAACATGTACTGATGTACTTCCATGTTTAAATCTCGTGCGTAGCACGTGAATAAATTACTGGCAAAGCACTGGCAATTTCCCGCCAAGTAAACAAAGTAAAATGTTCGCCCAGGATAAACTCGAGTATAAAGTATTATAAAAGTGCAAATAAAATGTCGTTCAATCCGAACGCTTTGCAGCAATAAACGACATTATAATATTATTGTAGATTTCATTAGGTAAAGCACAGTGGGTAAAGACTAAAGTGTCATTTAATGTATGTGTATATACATGCCATGGACTATATCCACACGGCACACGCCACAATTCACAAATGGCATTTTTATGTCGTTGACATTGGAAAAATCCAATCAGTTTCTGCGTTACAGTTGTGTGCAATAAAATAATGGACTAGCTTCCTAGCTGTGTGAAAAAGCATTAGCTTTTCGGTCCAATAAGCACAATATTGTCTGCTATAATTGTGGACATACATGCCATGAGGCATGACCTTGACGTGGCGCCCATGCAGCACAACAATGGCGTCTCTCGGTACTTTCCCCAAGTTGCTGAAGCAACAATGTGGTCGTTGACCATGTGTACCTTTTGCCTTTACTCGTTAGGCTTTGGACAGGGTAGTTGGCGTCCTGTTTCTTGGTTTTATAGGCCTTTCCACAGCCATTGCCTTCTTGCTTCATTGCCCGTTTAATTGGCTTTGTATGGCCGTTGTTGGCCTCGTCAGATATATTTTGCCCGTTGGGCTTTATATGGCCGTTGGGCTTTATATGGCCGTTGGCCTCATATGCCTTAATAAGGCTTTAGTTTCACTTGCTCATCTTAGGAGCGGTCTGTATAGACCATAGGTAGCTTTTCCCCATTGTGGGTGTACTGGGTTGCTTGTATTTGCCGCTCAACTCCGGAGCACAAGCGTGAATTTTGTTTGTGGCTGCCCGCCATTGCATGTCATCATTTATATATTTATTGCCCATTTGATTCGTTTTTCCCTAAACGAGAATAAGAAACAAAACAACAAAATATCAAAATAACAAAACAATATACTCCCTGTTTGCCTTGTGCAAAAATTATGTTCAACAAACCGATGATGATGAACGATTCTTTACGATTTACTCGCATAAATTTCTTCACGTTGTTTATGCCCAGAAAGACGCAAGCACAAATTGCCTAGATAGCTCGCTCGCGCTCTCTCATGTAATTCCGTAGTGACGTAGACTGATGACGTAGTAGAATTACCAATAACTGTACCAATGACGTATTCCGCAAATAAGAACCCTGTACACATAACGATTAATTAAGGCATAGTAAATAGTAGCAAAATTGTTCAAAAAGAAGAGTTTCAGAGCGTCTAGCAACATGAAATTGAAGCAGCGAGAAATCATTTTCTCAGCAATCTTGTATCAAAAAAGGCCGTCGTTGCTTATATCAGAAGTCCAAAACACTGTTACAGTTACCCATACTCGCACCCAGAGCAGTGCGGCAATGCCTGTTCGCAGGTTAGGGAGTGCTGCGAACTACGAGATTGCATTCATACATGAACGTATCGGGTTCTGTAGTTCACTGGTCGGGTTAGCCGACAACGGTGAACGGTCTCTTTGTGCATGCAGATTGCATGACCGCAGGTTCGATTCCTGTCAGAGGGCATGCTGTTGCATTTTTCGCAACTGCTCCTGGTTAGCTAGATAGATAGATAGATAGATAGATTTATTTAACCACGTTAACCTCGTCAACTACAGCTGATTTCCACGAGGGGCGTGTGAACAAGAAGTATACAGCAAATATGAAAAGTATTTAAAAGCTATTTACAAAGTAGAAAACATAGTATAAAATATATTAAGTATATGAGATAATAATGTATTTACAGATGCATATAGTTGCTTTAATTATCAATGTGAGCAGCGATTTTCGTCCGAAAGGAAGAAAGGGATTTGCTCTCTTTAATTTCCTTTGGAATAGAATTCCAAAGGAATGATCCATCGTACATAAAACTTTTTTTCAAATTATTAGTCCGCGGTTGCGGTAAACAAAGAGTACTTGAAACGTTTCGAAGATTATAGCTAGTCATCTCACTTTTATAAGTGAATAAGTTAGTAAGTGATTGAGGGCCCATGTTATTTAATACTAATTTATACATCATTTTTGCCTTGGCTTTTTTCCTTTCTACTTTAAGTGTCTTCCAGCCCAATGCTACAGAATGATCTGTGTCATTGCTCATATTCATGATAATTCGAGCAGCTCTATTTTGGAGTTTTTGAAGTCGTTTTGATTGTGTTTCACCGAACACATCCCATACTTCACAGCAGTAATCGAAGTACGGGCGAACAATAGCATTATAAACAGAAAGAAGCGTTTGCCTGTCAACAAAATCCTTTAAGCGTCTAGCTAAGAGCAGAAATTTCTGATGTTATTTTCCTGCAAATATTTTCAGTGTTACTTTTCCACGACAAATGCTGGTCGACTGTCACACCAAGAGTTTTGCACTCATGCACTTATTTAATCTGTTTGTTTTCAATTACCACGTTTGGCTGCAAATTTGAAACGCTTTTAATCATTTGTTTTCAGCCAATTAACATAAATTCAGTTTTTGCAACATTGAGGCTAAGTTTATTGGCAATTAGCCATTTTTTTAGGTTTTCTGATTCAGAATTCACTGCAGCTACAAGACGAGTTATCGAGTCGCCAGAAGCTGCGAGGTTTGTGTCATCAGCAAATAACCGAGGTTTTGTTTTTTATAGACATTGGGGCAAATCATTGATGTACAATAAAAAGAATAATGGCCCTAAAATAGAGCCTTGTGGCACACCACATCTAATCACTTTCTCCGATCACATTTATTTGGCATTTCTGACTTCGATTTGAGAGATATGAATTGAGAAAAGATAGTGCCTGGGCTTGCCTTTTATACCGTACAGCTCCAATTTTCTCAATAAAATTTGATGGTCGACTGTATCGAATGCTTTTTTTAAGTCAATTAGAACAACCAGGTTAAACATTTTTCTGTCTAAATTCACATACCAGTCATTTGTACAATCTAATAATGCAGTAGCCGCGTAGAATGAAATTTTCGAAAACCAAATTGGCTATCACTTAAAAGTCTAAATTTGGATAAGTAACTGTACAGTTGATTATACAGGGTGTATAAAAAAAAAAGGTAATCGAACTTCAGCGCGCTATTATACGTGATTTAGTAGTTGGCGTATGAACAATTGGTTTTCATATTCGGAAAGATCAGGCTTTTAGCTATCGAATGACATGCTTTTCATGCCAAGTGGAGAAAAAATAAATGGCTTTTCTTTTAAGCTTGTCCCTTGTATTAATAAGTTCTTTTATGGAACTTGTAATCCAAGGGACTCGTCTTGTTCTGATCTTTTTGTTTTGAAGGGGTGCATGTTTGTCTAAAACTTCTAAGAATAGCATTTTCCAAATTTCCCACTTTGCATTTGGAGTTTCAGCGAAAAAATACACATTTTCCCACTGTTGTTGCATCAGATCCACAACAAATTTTTGGGTATCAAATTTCTTCATATTTCTAATTTCAATTGTGTTTTCTAGTTTCTTGATAACAGAGATCTTTCTAATTGCAAAAACTAAGCTGTGGTCACTTATTCCAGTATGGATAACACCATAGGCGTACGGGAAGGAAAAAATTAGGGGGGCAGAAAGAAATTTGCCCGACTTTTTCGGATTGTGTCCGACAAGTGCCGAAAAAAATTTTTTCCGGAACAATTTATTTTGGCGACCTCCCCCCCCTCCCCCCCCCTCGCCAAAAAAATTTCGGTCTGTACCATTTCAGGGGTCCAAATATTTTTCGGACACACCCAAATTTTTCGGAACATCAAACAAATTTTCCCAAAAATCAAAAATTTAACATACTTTCCCACAAAATTTACAGAATTTGTCCCATTTATTTTTATAATAACCAAATATTGCCCGACTGTGAAGCGAATATTGCCCAACTGGCTTTGTTTGCCCAACAAACTTTAAGAGAGATTTTCTTGTTTTGACTACTTTTTGCCCGACTTTTGTTGAACATTTGCCCGACTTTGGATAACACCAGAATCAGAAACTTTTTCTGCAGTATTAGCTATTATGTGGTCAATAAGGGTGGAGGTTGTCATAGTTACTCGGTCAGGTCTAATAAATTCAATAAATGTGTGGAAAATTCCACTCGCTTATAACCAGAAGCGCACATGCAATTTGTGCAGTACAGCAAGTTTTGACACTTCATTGCAGTCAATTCCGGTGGTTCTGCCCACCGGTTCTGCAATGGTTCTGCCCATTGAACTATAAATAAACTGGAAGGCTAACTCAGGGGGGGAAATTGAAGCCAGTGCATTTTAGTTTTTCTGAGTTATGAGCAGAAATACTCAACATTGAACGTTGGGCTATATATCAAATTGAAGCTATTGAAAAACGCTATTTGGTGTAGAAATTTCAAGTCTTTAGCTAAAAGGGAAATATCGAAAAACTACAAACATAATTACCGATAATTTGCCGTTTTGCAGTTGTTTTTGTATTTTTTAAATATTTTTCTTTTCGCTGAAGTCTTGAAATTTCCACACCGAATAGCCATTTTCAATAGCTTCAATTTGATATATAGCCCGACGATTGGGGTCAAGTATTTCTGCTCATAACTCAGAAAAACTATTTTGGCTTCATCAAATCATAGGCCTTCATCATAGCAGTTAGCCTTCCAGTTTATTTATAGTTCAATGGTTCTGCCTCGTTGATGATCAGCAGTTATTAGCCAATCAAAACTCACCACGCAGTTGGCGCGTGACAATTGTGGACTCGGTTTCATTCCTCTTGAAAGGAAACATTTCCGCGGCCGCCATATTCACACTGTCCACGCTGGATATTTGGGCTGTTCTTTGTGATATAAAACATGGGTTTTACAAGATTTCTCGTGGCTTTTAGCTTTATATATTTGTGCATTGCATTGCTGTGTCGTGATACATTAGCAGACGAGGAGAAAGGAAGCGAAAACCAACCAGTAAGCTTTAAACATGCGATTGTATGAAATCATAAAGTTTTGTACCTTTGTGTAGCTATACAGTCATTACAGTGGTATATTCATTCATTTGTATATTTTATATGTCTGTTTTCACTTAAAGTTATATTTTTTATATGCTTTTTTTTCCTCAATATATTTTGAAAAATTGTGAAAAGGTTCAAATTCCAATGGCCCAAAGTATTCTGAATGTGTATATTATTAATATTATTATATTATAAACATTGGTTTTAATACATAACTTGACATATATATATATATATATATATATATTACATTCTTTAATGCGAAAATTATTAGTCATATTTATTTATAAAACACTACTCTATGTGCTTCTTTTTTTGTTAATTTTGAAACTTTTGTCAAATGTGAATTTATAAATGCAATTGAAGTATTGAATATTGCCTACTCTGTCGTGCACATGATATTCAAGTGACAGCAATTATTCGTGCCTTTCAAGTGATTCTGAAACAGCTGGTATACATCTATAGGTTAAGAACAAAGGGATTTTCTATAATGTGGTGGCTACTGAGAATGATTCCGTTGGGTCCATGATATGTGACCGACCAGGTCCATATTTGAGTGATTTTAACAATCAGAATTTAAAATAGCAAAAAATGCAAAATGTCATATTATTATTTAAAAGATTCATGGTTTCTGCCAATTATGAAATTGTCATATCAACTTAATAGC